CCTACTGGTCTCTGCTACATATCAGCAATACACGGTCGCGTTGCCCGCCTTGCCCGGTCCCCTTGACGACAGCGATCGGCACAGGGTTAAGCACGAAGCAAAGCATGAAGCAAAGCATGCATGTGCATCGTGACTCTGCTGCCGAGGGAACCTCTGCCGAGGCTACAAACTCACGATTGAAACCTTTCCGCTTTTTTCCCTCGCAGAACCAAGACCGCACGCATGAGCGAAGCGAGTCACGGGCTGTTCCTGTGTCTCTCTGCTGCGGCACCCCCGAACTTGTGCACTAGTGTTGCATGTGTTATAACTGTGTTATAATGAAAACACACGAAAGCTGCTGCGTTTCGGTTGCAAGACTGTTGCAAGCAAACCGGCTGTACAGTCCACAGCGCAAAATGTCCCAAGATGTTGCTGGAAGGGATACCTCCTTCATGCGTTTCGGTCCGTGGGCATGCTTGACAGCAAGGCCACTACAGCAGCAACACTCATAGCAGAGGATCGGGGCTCTACAGAAAGCTTCGAAGCTCTAAACGTCGAGCAGGGTCATCAACGTGCTGCTGACCTGCTGTCGGCCCACGCACTCGTGGAAACATGGACTTACAAACTTGAAACACGCGTAGCGCAGACTTTTCTGCCTTCGCCGCGACCCATGCGCTGATTGTTAGTCACAGCTTTCGCCTGCCAGCGCAACCTGTAGATTTCCTGGCAAAACTCCAGTCTCAAGGGCGCAGAATAGGCTAGCATGACTCTTGTGGCGAAAGCTGTCATCCCCAAGGTGAATGTCCTCGGGACATTCACACACTGCGAACCGCCGGACAAGAACTACAACGTCATGGTGACACACTTCACAGAAACAAAGCGGACACCAGTCAGCGTGAGGCGTTTCCCGGCATGGAGTTTCTTCTTCTTGCCCTTGTTTTCCAAGGCCAAATCTGAATTTGACAGGTCCTGGGCGGCAACTTCAAAGAAGGCTTCCACCCCGCCAAGGGCAGCAAAGAGCTCTACCAGATGGCGGTCTGACTGCTGCGGCTCCCACACGGCATTCGCTGTTTCCTTGTCTTTTGCCTTGAAGCTACCGTTCTTGTAGCTTGAGTAGTCGATTGAGACAACCGGCACCTCCACAAATTGCTTGATCACATCGGAAAGCTTCTGCACCCTGCCAGCGTAGAATACCTTTGTCCCCTTGTCCGGGTTCCAAGTAAGAATGCTGTTGTCATCTTCACGGCCCTCTGTCCTTACTTTGGGCGGCTGCAGTGGGGAGTGCAGTGGGAAGGTTGGGGGTAGGCTGGTGTGGAGGTGGTGGGCGAAGGGATGGGCCGTGTTATGGTGAAACTTGGGGAGTGGCGGGCGTTGCAGCCCGAGGCTCCCAGCAGAGAAGGTTCCACTGTCTGCCTGCAGGTAGTACATCATCTCTCCTGCAGAGAGGCGCTTTCTCCGCGAGCAGCTTTTGAGCATGAGGCCGCCTTCGCCGTTCACATTGGTCGTCTTCAACAACTTCCACCCGCTTGTCTCCCGAATGACATCAGCACTCTGAGACACATCATCAAGAGGGGGCTTTTCTTCCTTGGATTCTGTGGCCATGTCGTCCTGCATGATCAGATCCCGGCGCTCTTCATCGCATAGGTCTAACCCCCCCATCCCTGGCACAGAAGCTTCCCCTCCGACCCCCTCCATGAAGAACTCCTTCAGCTCAGCTTCAAGGTCCGAGGCGGCCTCCTCTTCTCCTCTTGCATGGTCCTGCTTCGTCTGTTTCCCAGGACGCATCGCCTCCGATTGCAAGCAGGGTCTTTTCCGGAGCTGCCTGGCCTGCTCATCTACCCCCCTCGGATCTACTTCCCCCGCAGCTTGTGCCGGTGACACCGGCTGGGCTGCTGGCTGGGCTGCTGGCTTGGCTGCTGTAGACTTGGCTTTGGCGGCTGCTTTTGCTGTTGGCATGCCGGCTTTCACAGGCTTTGGCTTGGGAGCACTCGGCCAAAGGAGTTCATCACCCTCGTCAACAGCGGAAGTACAAACAAACTTGGCGAAGACATCGCCATCCTCTCGAAGAAGGTCCACGTTGCTCCCTACTTTCTGCTGGAAGCCCTCCTCAGGGATGGATGACCTCAGGAACGGCCATAAGTCTGAGCAAGATGCTGTCAAGGCGTAACGCTTCGCACGTCCAATCCCGTCCAGCTGTGGGTGGATGATGGTGACTACATCCTCTGCTGGAGCACTGTCGTCGCTCAGAAGTTGCCAGCGCCTTGCAAAGCACGGTCTGTTCATGACACATCAGGTAAGCAAGTGCGCTGCACTGCATACACATAATCACGAAACCCTAACCCTAAACCCTAAACCCTAAACCCTAAACCCTAAACCCTAAACCCTAAACCCTAAACCCTAAACCCTAAACCCTAAACCCTAAACCCTAAACCCCTAAACCCTAAACCCTAAACCCTAAGCCCTAAGCCCTAAGCCCTAAACCCTAAACCCTAAACCCTCAAGGCCAGGATAAATAGAAATTGTAGGTGTTTCATTGCGTGCAATAATCCTTCATCCTTCACAATGCAAAAAAAATTAGACCCTCTGCGTGATCCCGAACCCCAGCCCCAGCCAGTCCAGCCCACCCAGCCCCACCCACCTGGCCTCCAAGCCTCCCTCCAGCCCCAGGCCTCAGCCCCTCCAGGCCCCTCCAGCCCCTCCAGCCCCTCCAGCCTCAGCCCCTCACCCCTCCAGCCCCTCCAGCCCCTCCACCCCCTCCAGCCCCTCCAGCCAGCCCCTCCAGCCCCTCTAGCCCCTCCAGCCCGCCCCTCCAGCACCAGCCTCTCCAGCCCTCTCCAGCCCCTCCAGCCCCCTCCAGCCCCAGCCCCCTCCAGCCCCGGTTTTCCAGTCCCTGCCTTTCCAGCCAGGCTTTCCAGCCCCTCCAGCCCCTCCAGCCCCTCGCCGCCAATGTCCAGCCCACACCCAACACCCCAGCCCCAGCCCATCCCAGCTCTACAAGCCCCAGCACCCCCCCAGCCCCCAGCAAAAGCAAAAACAAAAAACCCTGCAAAACCCCCCAAAACCAGGCAAAACCCCCCAAACCCGGCAAAACCCCCCAAAACTCTGGACAGATACAATTCCTATAAACCCTAAACCCTAAACCCTAAACCCTAAACCCTAAACCCTAAACCCTAAACCCTAAACCCTAAACCCTAAACCCTAAACCCTAAACCCTAAACCCTAAACGTTTGACTGTGTGGCCTTGCTAGCAGCAGTTTGCATGCAGTTTGCCTGTGTGGCCTTGCTTGCTGCAGAGGCGCTGAGGCAACACCATGATCACATCACCCTTTTCGAACTTACGCATGGCAAACAGACCCTTTTCGTTTGGAACCGCCAGGCTGTTGGCCAGGCAAACGTCATGCCGGATGCATGCCTGGCTCTGGGCCAGGCATGCGGGCAGGAACATGTTGGGACTCATCTCCGAGCTGCTGGTTTGCCCGGCGCTGCTGGGCTTGGCGTTGCTAGCTTCGAGGATAATGTGGTTCTGGTAATCTGCCTTGCCGGTGGACACAGCCATTGCCGCAAGGATTTCCGGCACTTCTGGAGTGGTGGGCAGCTGGGCAGCAATCGTGTCCAGCGCAAAGTCGCTGTCCGTTTTGATGAGGATGCGTTTCTGCAACTTCGATTTTTCCAGCGCCTCCAAGCTGTTCCGCAAGTCTGCGTTGTCAGATATGCACTTGAGGGGAGCTGGCAGCAAAAGCCGGGCCAAATTGAGAGCAAAACGCCCCCGCATGTCCAGCACCGCCAACATCTTCCCGGCACGCAAAACATTCAAGCCCTCGAGAAGCTCAAGGACTTGCTTCTCCTCCTCCGCAGCAGTTAGGTTCAGAGCCTTGCGCAGGGCCCTGAACCGAAAGGTCAGCAAAAACCCCATCACTTACACACACACTATCGAGGCCGGGGCGCCCCCGTTCTCATGGCTGTGGAGGAAAGCAACATTTTTAGCAGCTCTGAAGCTTGTTCTGCAACATCTTGCTTCTCGTGGTTCAATAACACTACGGCGGAGGAGAGGGCGCCAAGCTGCTTCAACTGCAGCGGCAGCTTGGTTGCTGCGGTCTTCATCATTGTTTCCGCGATGATGAGTTCTGCCTTCCGAGCTTCGGGATGCCATGCCGGAGGTAAGCAAACCACAACACAGCCCTTGGGCTCCGAGGCAGCCACCAGGCTTGTCAAGAGATCCACCGTGAGATCCCGTGTTGCGGCAGATGTAACCACAACGCAAACGGAGTCACCTTCAGAAGACCCCAGCGTCGCCACGCTGGAGCTTGGCACTGCAGAGAGGATGCTGCCCTTCTGCCGAGATAGCGCCTGCTGGAGGCCATCGAGCTTTCTAGCGGTCAACTGCGTCATGTCCGCATCACGCCGTTCCATGAGTGCTTTCATCTTCAAGAAGTAAGCTTTCAAATCGGCTTTGTACGCCTGCATGCCTGCTAGGAGCAGGGCGCCCACATCATCCTTCTGAGATTCTTTTCGCTTGAAGACCGCGCATGCCTCTCGAGCAGCTTCCTCAGCAGCTTGGATATGCATGTTCTGCTGGTTCAGATTCGCCGCAGCCACGCACTTTCGGACGAAGGACCATGCTGGAGCCGCAACCTCTGGTTGCGTGGTGTGCATGATAATGTTGTCCAGGATTCCAGTCTGAAAGTCCTGGTAGACCTCAGCAAAATCTATCCCAGGATACTTGGATTTAACCGCATCCATGCCGACCCGGAATTTGTGGCTCACAATCTTCATCTTGCAGCGGTTCTCCACACTCAGCTCCTGCAGAGAACTAGAAAGCACACGCAGCAAGCAGTCCGGCAAAGAACGCTTGCCCCACTGTTGCTGCAATCTAACAGTCCTCCATTCTCTGCACACTCGACAAGCTTTTTTTGCACTCCAACTTGAGAGGCGGATCTTTGCGCGCAGCGCACGTCACCATGGTAGACAGCCTTGGTGTTGGTAGGCAAGCAAGAAGGGGCGCAGTTTCCCAACTAATGTTCTCATCTGTGGAGCAGGACAAGGCCGAGGCACCAGCGACCCACCATGAGACACCAATCCTCCGGACACTGAACAGAATCAGCTGCTCGCTGGCGGTGGAGGGCAGGCAGCAAGAACTTCGAGTCACGGATCCAGTTGAGTGGGAAGGGTGCGCCGGAAACATTCTTCTCGATCATCCAGGCCTCAAGGAGATCCACACCGTCGGATGGAACTCGAGGAATCACCTTCAGGTACAGCACACGAGGAGTCGTGTGGAGAGAAAACTGACTTTCAGCCTTCAGGACGCCTTAAACCCAAGAAACCCGTGGTCGAGATGTCGAGACTCTTGCACATGTATATACAAGGCACCATCATGATGGCGCAACCTGGCCTTTTCGAGGCTAGTCCACTCGAACATGCGCGTGCTCTCCTTGTACTTCGATGTAACCGCCCGGCCCAGCGCTGCCCCATCTTGCTCGGCCCACAGCATCCGGGATGCCTTGAGGAGCTCCAACCATGACACCTCCAAAGCCTGTGATAGATTGAGGGTGCGGCCTACGCCGTCGGCCACGACTTCCTCGCAACGGAGCCACTCGAAAAGAAGCGTAGGCCAGTAGGCACCGGACTCACATACTGTGATGCTTTTATATACATTTTTTTTCTCTCTCTCTCTCTCTCTCTCTCTCTCTCT